CCCACAGTCAATCTCCAAACTCTTATCTATGTCTGAGGGTCATTTTTACATGTTCTTTGTCTTTCCCGTTTTGCCCACCTTTATCCCACTCCCCCCTTGCCTCTGACAGCTGTCAGTCTGTTTCATGTTTCCATGTCTCTACTTCTATTTTGCTCATTAGTTTCTTTTGTTCATTATATTCCTCTTATAGGTGAGATCATGTGCTGTTTGTCTTTCACTGCCTGGATTATTTCACTTAGCATAATGCTCTCCAGTTCTACCCATGCTGTCATGAAGGGAAGGGAGTTCTTTTTTTCTTTCTGCTACATAGTATTCCGTTGTGTAAATGTACCACAGTTTCTTGATGCATTCATTCACTGATGGGCACTTAGGTTGCTTCCAGCACTTAGCTATTATAAATTGTGCTGCCATAAACATTGGGGAGCATAAGTTCTTCTGAATTGGTGTTTCAAAATTCTTAGGTTATAATCCAAGCAATGAAATTGCTGGGTCAAAAGACAGTTCCATTTTTAGTTTTCTGAGGGAACTCCATACTGTTTTCCACAGTGGCTGTTTTCCACAGTCTGCATTTGCACCAACAGTGCACTAGGGTTCCCTTTTCTCCATATCCTCTCCAACACTTGTTTTTTTGATTTCTTTTTGATGGCCACTCTGACTGGTGTGAGTTGATATCTCATTATGGTTTTAATCTGCATCTCTCTGATGTCTAATGATGCTGAACAACCTTTCATATGTCTCTGCGCCCTCTGTGTGCCCTCCTCAGAGAAGTATTTGTTCAGGACCTTTGCCCATTTTTCAATTGGATTGTTTGTCTTCCTAGAGTGGAGTTGTGTGAGTTCTTTATATATTTTGGAGATCAAACCTTTCTCTGAGGTATCATTGGCAAATATATTTTCCTACACAGTTGGTTCCCTTTTAATTTTGCTGATGTATGCTTGCCTTTTCTTTCAAACCAGGACAAACACCTTAGGATTTTAGATTTACCAAATCTTTGTGTGTGTTGGTTGGCTTTTTAAAAGTCATTTTCTTTCTCTTTAACAGATGAGAATTTTAATAAAATCCAAAAAAGAAAAAAGTTGTTTTTAAAAAAATCTAGAGCTATGAAAGGTTGTAATCAGCTGAGGAAGAATTTCTTGGGCTCTATTGCTAGTCCTGTGGGAAATGTATGGTAGCTGTGAAGAGCTGAAATTACTAAGCTATTTGGGGAGAAAGTTGGATTTGGAAACCAAGCCAGAGATAAATGTTTGGTCTTCAAGTAAATATGACAAGATTCTCATTATGGGCTTTAAAAATTATTTTCAAGTTGTTCAATTACAGTCATCTGCATTTACTCCTTACCACTCTCCTTCATCCCAGCTACATTCACCTACCTTTTTTGCTTCCACCCACCCCTTGGTTTTGTCCATGTGTCCTTTTTAGTTGTTCCTGAAAATGCTTCCTCCCATTATGGTTTTAGGTTGAGAATCTATATCCAATATCTTTCTAGATTATATGTCATGGACATATCAAAAAATAATGTTAATAATTATAATCACCTCTGCTATTCCTCCTACTATATTTTATTTAGCAATTTCTCTGTGCCAGGCATTGTGCTGAATGCTTTACATTTATTTGAATAATTTAATTCTCATATCATTCCTCTAATGTACTTGCATAGTAACTGTCTTCACTTCTTCCATTTACTTTGAACTTTCTAACTTCCCCTTCCCCAGATTTCACCTATGCATGGCAGCAGTTTTTATTATACTCATTAGCCTGTACTAATTTTTCAATTGTATTATTTCTATTACCATTTCATCCCCTTATGCTCACTTCCTCAGCAATCACCACACTATTGTCCATATTCATGAGTCCTTTTTCCTTATTGTTCAGTCCCTCCACCCCTTAATTGCACCCCCTCTTAGCTGTGATCCTGCTCTCTATCTATGAGTCTGTCTCTATTTTCCTTGTTAGGCCAGTTTGTTTATTAGATTCCACATAGTGTAGTAATTTTCAATGTCCTGTAAGAAAGTTTAATGCATGGTTCTTTCCTTTAAATGATTTTTTTCAATAAGCAAGAGTATGCTGCTGCCAATGTGCTTTAGCCTAAAAGCATACTTTTCCAACTTTGGGACATAGAACACAGGGGCAGAAAGCTGGCAATGTTTCCATATTCAAAGGAGCAAAGTATGTTCACACAATGGAATACTACTCAGCAGAAAGAAAGAGGGAGCTCCTACCCTTTGAGACAGCATGGATGGAACTGGAGAACTTTATGCTAAGTGAAATAAGCCAGGTGGAGGGACAAATGCCATATGATCTCACCTTTAACTGGAATGTAATCAATAAAGCAAACAAGCAAGCAATATATAACCAGAGACATTGAAATTAAGAACAACCTGACAGTAACCAGAGGAGAGATGGGAGGGGATAATGGGGAAAGGAGGGGAAGGTTTTCAGGAACAATTATAAAGGACACATGGGCAAAACAAAGGGGGGTCATGGAGGCAAAGGAGGGAGGTGGGAATGGCTGGGGTTAGGGGGAGTGGTGGGAAGTAAATGCTAACTGTAATTGAATAACAATAAAATAATTTTTTCTAAAGTTTTTCTCCCTAAATGCTTCTTAAATAACTTCTCAAAACTTTTCTCTCAGGCCATGTCTGTTGTGCTCTTTCTATAATGAACACTGTTCATTGTGAATGTGCACCCTCACTTTAAATAGCAAAGACACGTCTCACAGTTCTTGCAACTTTGGAAAAAGTTTGCTCCACATTTTAATAACTCCCACTGCAAATAGACTGTAATGTCTAGTCCCTGATCTAAATGTCTCTGCTTTCCAGTGGCTTTTATACCAAGACTAGAGAAAATATATGTCCATACTCCACCCTCCTGATGCTTACTGAAGACCGCGGTGATTTTAGTAGGTTTGTAAATCATGAAAGATATGATGTTTTTGATTTCTGATGAGTAGCTGGTAGGTTAACAGCTGAAAATAATAAGAATCTTGAAAAGCAGTTGAAGTTTGTATTCTTCAGGTAGCAAAAAAAAATTCATTTAATAATTATATAAAGCCAAAATCATAGAAGGTTAGTAAGGAAAAAATATATAGCTTGAAGACATAAAGATGGATGATTTCACTAAATAGGTATTAGAGATGCCTTTCTGAAGATGAAAGGAGGAAAAAACTTGACATCTTTTTATTCACTGAAAATGAATACATAACATATTCATTATATATATATATGTATATATAACTTGTATATATATGTATATATATATGTATATATATATAATGAATACATGCACATAAAATAGATATAGTAAGAGTTTCCATGCTCTCATTGATAATTACATTATTAAGTCAGGAAAATAGAAAAAATATTTAAGTATATAAGGCCAAGAATTTTCAATGCATTTAATATATTAAGATACACATATAATTTTCATATGAAAAGAAGTAATTTAACCTCAAAAAGATGAAATTGTTTTGGAAGACATATCTGTTTCTTTTTTTATGTGCATTTCTTTTTTTAACTTTATTTTTATTATTGACACTATTACAAATGTCCTCATTTTCTCCCTCATTGCCCACCTCCACCTAGTCCCCCCTAATTAAAACTGTTAGAATATTTTTCTTGCAATTAGTATTATTACTATCACTATTAATAAAATAAAACAAGCTGATTATTTTGCACATTATTCTTAAATTTGCATTGTGAAACCTATAGAGTTGTTGAATGCAGCCCAGAAAATACTTTGTAGTGCTTTATACAGACCATCTAATTTAATTCTCAGAGGCAAAGAGGCCAAGTCTTAGAGAGGCTACTGAGGAATGATCAAGGCCACACAGCATATTAAGAACCCTTTAACCCTAACCATTTTGACACAGTTCAGTTTTAAGATTTCTGGAATATTGTCCTCTGACAAGTTTTAAAGATATTTATCAACGTTGACAGAACAATTTAAATGTGTGCAAGTAAATTAGGGTAGAGCCATCTTTTTTACCAAATGGGAAAACAGAAGGTCACTTAGATGTAAAATGTCACAGGAGATATTTGCAGAAATTGAAATGTACTGTAAATTGAAAAGTCAGTTTTGAAAAATAAGTTTTAAAAGTATCCTTCTTTTTTTTCCCTTTCAGTTGGCTCTGGTGTCACTTTGACAAACCACCATCTATGTGGGTTTTTGTTTTGTTTTGAGCATCTTATATTCTACCCAACACTCATCTTATATATTTCCTGGTCTAGTCCTAAAATCTGTTCTTTTCTAGTCATAAAAAATAAATGTGTTTGAGTAGCACAAGGAGAGATAAAAGAAGGATTTCTCTTTTCTAAATGTTTCCATAAGATTATAAAGTAATAAGGTTTAGAATAGCACTCATATGTTACAGGTAAACCATCTGCTCATCAGTAGTTTTATGTAATTAAGAAATTAATTTATCATTCATATATTAATAGTTAAAAATAGTACTAATCAATAACAACAAAACAATTTGAAAGTATGCAAGTGAAATGAGAATGGTACTGGATTTTTCTGTAGCTGAGAAAGTTGGGAATTCACTTAAATAAAAAGTCATTTATCACACTCATAGAATACTAAGTGGGTCTTCTGCAATCATATTCAACTGTTAGATCCAGTACTTAACAATAGTGGATTTGGGCAGGGGGTGGTTAAAAGAAACTTTTGAGATTTTGACCCTTATTTAACTTTTTATTTATCTGACTTATTAAGTAGAGAATGCTAACTTAGTGTATGGACTATGTAACTCCTTAGTCAGTATTCAGAACAGGAATATTATTGTGTATGTGATAAATATAACCCAACATGTACTGAAGCTAGTCAGTTGTTAAGCGATTCCAAAAAGAAAAATCGTCATGGAAATAGTTGTTATTTGGATTTTAGGTAATCAATGTTCTAGGAAATTATTAACTGATTTCATAACTCCTTCATATGTACTTATTACAGATTCTAGCTCTATTATTCTGTTCCATTTTTGTCATTATAGAACAGTCTACAGATTGATGGAGCAGTTCAACTATTCCAGAGTCTCTGAATTTGTGTTACTTGGACTTACTGATTCTCCTGTGCTCCAGATTTTCTTCTTTGTGATGTTTTCCATTTTTTATTTAATGACCATGCTGGGCAACTGCCTGATTTTGCTCACGGTCTTGTCTACCCCACAACTTCACTCCCCCATGTATTTCCTGCTAAGCAATCTCTCTCTCATTGACATGTGCTTGTCCTCCTTTGCCACTCCAAAGATGATCACAGACTTCTTCACTCAGCGCAAGACCATCTCCTTTGAAGGCTGCATTTCTCAGATCTTCTTATTGCACCTCTTTACTGGGACTGAGATTGTGCTGCTGATCTCTATGTCTTTTGACAGGTACATTGCCATATGCAAACCTCTCCGTTATTCAACAATTATAAGCCACAGAGTATGTGTTGGGCTTGTGGTAACTTCTTGGACAGTGGGCTTCCTGCATACAATGAGCCAGTTAGCTTTTACTCTCTATTTACCCTTCTGTGGTCCCAATGTTATAGACAGTTTCTTCTGCGACCTTCCTTTGGTCATCCAGCTGGCTTGTATAGATGTGTATGTTCTTGGAATCTTTATGATCTCCAGCAGTGGTGTGATTGCTCTTATAAGTTTTCTACTTTTGCTTTCCTCCTACATCATTGTTCTTGTTACTATAAAGGATCACTCTTCCACAGGATCATCTAAGGCTTTTTCTACCTGCACTGCACATTTCATTGTTGTGTTACTGTTCTTTGGACCCTGCATCTTCATCTATGTGTGGCCTTTCACAAACTTCCTGGTGGACAAAGTTCTCTCTGTTTTCTATACCATCTTCACTCCCTTTTTGAATCCACTTATCTATACTTTGAGAAATCAGGAAGTGAAAACAGCTGTGATGAAGAAACTAAGTAACCGATATTTAAATCTTAGGATGACCACATTAAGATATCCAGTGCAATGAACAGAGATCTCCTGTATGAGAGTTAGTATCATAGTTTTGTTCTTGATGCAATAGAAAATTAAACTTAGAAATGGCTTTTCAAGTCATTTAGTCTAAAATCATGAAAATAAAAAGCCAGATTGAGAGATATGAAATATCTCGCTTAAAAGACAGTACAGTATTTGCCATCCTTTGAGATTGTAAAGCCATTTTAAAACCTGTTAAAATATATGTTATTTTCATAGAAAAATGCACATACTATAAAATTTGTGAACATAAAGTCAGGGATTTGTAGATGTGAATTCTATCAATGTACTTTAGATTAATACTACTTAGAGAAGCCTAAGATAAGATATTGCTCATTTGTCTTCTAACTCAGAACACACCACTCAGCTTTACATCCTTGTGGTACTTGGATGGTATCCATATGTAGGACTCTAATTTCGAGTATTGGGCAAAACAGGGTTTTTCATAACAGCAGAGCATTTTCATGGAAAAATTGATATTGTGAAGAGATTCTTTTGAATACTCTTAAACAATCTTGATTCAGAGTGTAATTGAGTTCTGGGTCAACTTTCAACAAAAGTGAATAGTTTGGAGTATCTGAGATTTCATAATACAGTTTCTTAATAGGTATACAATTGCTACAACACTCAATAATTGACATAGCAGGTAATTAATCAAATGGAATTTTTTAAAGTTTAAGCCATAAAAACCTTGCTAAATATCACAGATATGATGAATTCACTTAATACTAAGACAAAACATTTGGAAAATTATTAACTATTAAATTTATGACATGTTTTTAATCTCCAAATAAAATATTCAAAAGTTTTATTAGTCTTAGTATGCATTTTGGATCTCATTTTCAATATAATATAAACTGTGGAAGGAAAAGATGAAAATAATTTAACAAATATATAGCAGAATTATTCCAAACTTGGTTTATTACTGATGAAGTTAAATGTATTTTTTATTACAAGATGGTCTTTGAAAATTAACTGGCTAATTAATTTCCCTAACAGCTAAAGAACCTAAGGTCCAGAGAGTTTACAGAGCTAGCTCAAGCCTGAATCACTGTAAGAGGCAAAGGTCATTACTCCAAAGATACATGGACATCATAATAAATCTTAGATCTGTCATTTCCTAGTTGTGTTATCCTGGGAGATTCACTTTACCTCATTATCTCTTCTTAATATCTAATACAAGGATAATAAAAGTGGATTAATTGTTTGTTGTGGCTTTTATGTAGAGTGGACACAGAATGGATTGTAAAAATGTCATTTCCTCATTCCTTTCCCATCCCCATAGATACATACAGTACATCTTATTTTTAAGTAGTATGCCTTTGAATAATAATTGTATTCAGGCCAAACCACTAGCAAACAGAATTTGATAGTTTGTTTGTTGGTTTTTTGTTTATTTATTTATTTATAAATTGCTGTTCAAGTACAGTTGTCCCCATTTTACCCCCACTAATCCCCCTCCCTCCCATTCCTACCTGATGCTTTAATTTTAGAATGCCTTTAAGACTTAAGACTGTGGCTTGTTAAGACATATGGCAGAAAATAGAGAACTTTCCAGTTTTCCATTTCTAACTTGGGGGTGGGGAACTATTTTAAATTGCCTGATACTTAGAGATTTCTACGAATAACAATACTGACAGGTCGTATCTCCTAGAACTTACTAAAGTGTAAGAAAAAAATTTAGGATAATATCTGTCATCATGGATTCAGACACTTTGCAAGTACTTTGAGAAAAATATGAGCTTCCAACTTGCAAAGACAGAAATGGCATTAATAGTTTCTTATATTTATCTTTAACTTTTAAGGTCTCTGCATGTTTTAGCTCAAACAACCTCCAAGTGAAATATTTAATATCTGAAATTAAATAATCTGCAAAAGTTTATGAAGAAATGTAATATTGGATCTATGTATTTTAGTCAAATCATAAATTATTTCTTCTTGCTTCAAAACTAGTCATACAAATGAAAAAGGTCAAGGTAGGTACATGTTTTTGTCACATTTCCATTATTCAGCAAAAATTATCATCTTTGTTTAGAATGTGGACCTTGCTTCTAAAATTTCAATCTTTGGTTCAATAATTATTTATATGCACCCCTTTGTTTAAGCTCTTACTGGGTGCTGGGGATCCATTGAAGTACAAAGTCTGTTTCTCTGTCTTTGAGGGACACATATTTAGCAATTAGGTAGGATCAGTCAGTTTTAGGTTGAATTCCAGTCCCACAACTTTTTTGTTGTGGAACCTTGAGCGAACATGTTTCTAAGACTAAGTTTCTTAATCTGTAAAATGTGCACATAGTGTTTAACCCCTAGAGATTGTGTGAAAGTTAAGCCAAAACACATGTAACATAACTAACAGTACTTGGTCCTCATTAATATTTAATAATACTAATAATATTGTTATTGTTGTCGTATTAAGTTTTGTGTAAAAATCATCAGGATACTGGAGTGGAAAGAGATGTGCTTACTTGACCTTAAAAGGCATGGTTTTAAAACTGTAATAGGGTGTGTCAATTTACTTAACATTAATTAATGTTGAAATATTGGATTTGTGCCAATTATGAATCTTTTGTGCATTTCTATAGTTAATACTGTCCTTTGTTTGCCTATGTTTTTCAAAAAAAGTATTATATTTTTGAGATTTCTTATTTATTTTAAGTTGAAATATATTCCAAGTTTGCATGAAAGGGAAAAATAATAATTACACAATGTTTAACAGATCAGCATCTTGTTTTATTACAATAACATTTAAAAATAAAGTTACATAATTAAAAAGTGATAAAATTTACTTACATATTTTATGTCTTTTACCTATTCATAATATAGTAATTCAATGCTTTAAAATATTTAAAATATGAACTGGGAAATAAGTAATGATAATTCTTCATTTTATGTATAGCACACTAATAAATAAGTTTCAACTATAGGTAGCAAGACTTTGCTCACATATATAAAAATATAAAAGAATAATTTATTTGGAGACATGGTAGAACTATTGCCCAGGATATTGTTAAGTTTGGTACCATAAAATTGTAGCATTAGACATGTCATCTGAGTAAGATATTCCTGAAGTTTTAGGGTAAACATGTAATCTCTATCTGGGACTTCTTGTGGTAGAGCCCATTTCTGTGTCCTCATAGTGTATTTTGATAACTATACTTTAATATAGTTGCTTTTCTTTGAGCTCTTATGTATTTTATGTTGTGTTTTTGAATTTTTTTATGAGAAAACTTTGGGCTTCACTGAACATCTAAAGGGGTCTTTGGTACATTTGTGCGTGTGTGTATACACACATGTGCATGCACACACAACTATGAACTTCTGGAGTGAGGATTGTAAAAAGCACCATTAAAGACAGATAGTCTCATCTGAATTCAGCTGTGCATCACCTACTAGTTTTGTGATTTGGAGCAAATTTAATTAACCCCTCTAATCCTAGTTTTCTCATCATTCTTAAGGAGGCAGTGTTTGCAGGCCAACAGGCTGCAAGCCACAATAGCCTGCATTTTCAACATGTTTTGTCTTCTTTCAAAGCTTTGTAAAGAAATCAAACTAATTAATAAAACTAAAAAGAGTTTTCACACACAAAAAATACAGCTTGATGAATTTTCTTAAAAAAACAAAAACAAGACAAACACAAACCCTCCAAACTTAGGCCAGAATTCTAAGCTAGTTTTTAGATCAGGCAAGTACCAGAGTTTTTAGATAAGGCAAGTACCAGAGGTTCCATCTCGGCCTCATTTTCTATCAGGCCACTCCATTCATGTGTATTATGCCAGCAGATTGTCATCCTTAATACAGAACTTAAAATGCTTCATATGCCTTTTCATCACCATACCTATAACTTGTCCAGCTTCAACTCTCACTCTGAGATAATCCACTCTTTTTTTAAAAAATATTTTATTGTTTATGCTATTACAGTCTCCCCAATTTCCCCCATTTTACCCTCCTCCACCTAGCCTATCCCCACTCCCAAAGTCAATCACCATGCCCATGGGTCATGCCTGTATGTTCTTTGGTTAATCCCTTCACCATTTTTCAACTGGTCTTCACTTCCCCTTCCCCTCTTACAGCTGTCAGTCTGTTCCATGTTTCTATGCCCTTGATTCTATTTTTGCTCATTAGTTTATTCTGTTCATGAGATTCCACTTATAAATGAGATCATGTGGTATTTGTCTTTCACCAGATGGCTCATTTCACTTAGCACAATAGTTTCCAGGTCCATTTATGCTATTGCAAAAGGTAAGAACTCCCTTTTTACTGCTGCATAGTCTTCCATTTTGTAAATGTGTCACAGCTTTTTTAACCACACATCTAATGATGTGTGGCAGTTAGGCTGTTTCTATCACTTGACTATTGTAAATAATGTTGATATGAACATAAGGCTGCATATATTCTTTTGAATTAATGTTTTGGGACTTTTAAGATATATTCCCAGAAGTAGAATTGCTGGGTCAAAAGGCAGTTTCACTTTTAATTTTTTTGAGGAAATTCCATACTGTTTTCCACAGTTGCTGTACCAGTCTGCATTCTCCCTACCAGTGCAAAGAATTATAAGCTAGCAAAGTTGAGCATTTTCCCATATATCTATGGGCCTTCTGCATGTCCTTCTCAAAGTGTCTATTCAATTTCTTTGAGATAATCCACTCTTGTCTCCAACTTTGGATGGCTCAGTCTTAAAAAACAGCATTCATTAAATCACCTGGGAACAGTAACTTTCTTACAAATTATTTCTACATGAGGATTTAAGCCAAGTGGGGTATAAGAAATGTGTTTTATTTCTGTTTTCTAATTCTTTCTCCTCCTATGTCCTGATTCTTTTTCCTTGACTGCACTCCAGTAGGAATCTGCTTTTAATTATTTGCATTTCATTGTACATTGAAAAGCTATGTTAGTTCTTCCAAGTGTATCTTTAATTGCAGGGGGATAGGATTGGCTTCTTGTTGAAGTAGTTCAATCAGTAGAGAGATGAATTATCATAAGTAAGGTTTTCTGCCT